ATTCGCGACATGATGGGCTACCTGAAGGGCCGAACCCTCATGAACCGCACGGTAGGTAGTTGGCGTGAAACGGTGCGCTTGAATGTCGCTAGCAGACCTCCGTCGCAGGTCGTCGTTGAGCTTGTTGGCGTGGATGGCCGTGATACCATACAGAAAGTTTGGTGCCAAGCTCATGCGATTGAGATCTGCGCTGATGACTCAGCGGATATCGGTCACGTGGTTGGTGTGCACCATGGCTTCGGACACCAACCGGTGACAGCTGCGGAGACCGAAGGCCGGAGCCGTGGAACATAAGGCGATTTCAAAGCAGCTCCGGCATCATGATGAAAAGGACTCATGCGTTCACTAGATGTACTCTACCTGCGAATCTTCTCATACCGTGACTAGACTATGGTCTGTTGCCTTTCTGATTTTTTAAACCACTATCGATCTTTGCTCCCAACGACGAAGACTGGCCATCTCAAAATGACGGCAGTTCACCCATTTCAGGTGAGCCACATTACATCGCGGTCATGTCCAACAAGCCATGTGGTCAAACTTGGAACACAGAGACAATTCAGAGCAATGTTCATGGCAGCCCATGACAGCAAACTCGCCTGGCTGAGTGATGACTGATAGCAAGATGCCTAGACACTCTTCGCTGTTCACATGACATGTGACAGCTGCGTCAAGGCCGTTTCAGATTCCCTCTACCAGCTGCAAGGCATCACCAAGGTCGACGCCAATCTCAAAGACCAGCTCGTTTCGGTAGAAGGCACAGGTACGTCGGCTTGCCTCAGGAGAACCTTATCGGTGGCTTCTCAGCCTACGATTCCCGTCGCTGACGCCGATGTGCAAACGCCCAGCCGCCCCCTCGGCCATCGTAGACGCGATCCAGGCGACAGGAAGGGACGCCATCCTTCGAGGATCAGGCGCATCAAACAGTAAGTGCAAATTCGCCTGTTTACCCCCCCTGAGACGGATGCAATCATTTTGCTTGCCCCCTTTTGCGCCAACGCCGTTGATTCACTGCCTCGATGATCTTTGAGTTTTCTCGCCTCCCCTCAACCACGATGCCGTGTCACCTTCCTGTGCACATTCCCTTCTGTGATGAAGGTTCACGCGCAGACTGACAACTCTTGTTAGGTGCGGCTGTCAGTATCCTTGAGTCTTTCTACCAGCCGAGTGAAGTCTCTTCTACAGAGACTCCCGATGACGGTCGCAAGCGCGAGGTCCGGGGCCTCGCCAGGATGGTCCAGGTCTCACCCACAACAACGCTGATCGACCTGACGGTGCGCGGTGTCACACCCGGCACGTACCAAGCGACCATTCGGTCGTCCGGGGACCTTCACGATGGCGCCGCCTCCACCGGTGGCATCTGGACGGAGGGCGAGAAAGAGGGCTCGCCCAAGGGCGAACTGGGCAGCTTCACTGTCGACAAGAACGGCAAAGCAAGCGCGTTCCTGAACCACCCTTTCCAGATTTGGGAGATTATCGGTCGTGCCATGGTCGTCTCCAAGCAGGATGACGCTGCCGCGCCGTTGAAGAACGATGCGGATACGCTTGTTGGTGTGGTTGCGAGGAGCGCCGGCATGTGGGATAATGACAAGACGGTTTGCTCGTGCACGGGCAAGACGTTGTGGGAGGAGAGGCAGGATGAAGTCAAGAAGGGGATGCTCTGATATTAGTTCGGTTGTGAACATCATAGAACGCAAATATTAAGCGTAGTTGTTGGAGACATTGGTCATCAATGCGGTGGCACTTGGTGATGGTTCGTCCGTTATATTCTAAATATTGTCCCATGTAACTTGGCATGTGACATATGTCTTCAGAATACTGCTCTGTTAGGCCAGGACTGCCAACAAGTGGATGCGCAAGCTTTGAGTGAGCCTCTCGCACACGTCAACAATCTTGAACTCAGCCGCGTAGCACAATACAACTCAATCACGATTTTCGGATTAAAACCGGCCTCCACCTAACGATATTGTTCTAAGCGATTCTGTAGATCGACGGGAACATCAAGGAGCAGCGGAAACCGAAAGATTCGTGGCTTTGCTTCATAGGGTATTGGCTCGCATTGGTGGCTCGCATTGGTTTCGAAAACACCCCCAAGGACAATGGAAACTCCACGGATAGGGTAAGCCGTGGTACTTGTTTCGCGGTGCATCTTGATCGACATCTCCAGCTCACGATGTCCTCCTTACACCTGAAGCAATGAACTCCTGGGATCTGGACAGGGCCTTTCCTCCTGAGATGCCAAGAGCCCCTCCTCTGTCCTGATGGACAGGGGATCGACGCTGCCGAGACTGGCCCGCTATGAAACCGTAGAGCGGCTCGGTGAGGCAGAAGAATTTCTGTCGGAGGACGGACGCCGCTTGTTTTTCTATGTACGGTGAGCGTGGCTTCCAGCGGGAAAACCTGTCTGAGGTTGAGCGCGCTCCTTCACTCGACACTATTGAGACCACGAGCTGGAATTATTCTGGCCCCGCCAAGGTAGTGTGCCCGAAAAGGCCACCTGGATGCTTCGTCCCATACACCACTGGCTGGATTCTATAACCCGAACGCCATAATTGTGACGGGGAATGTGAGACGAGGATGTCAAACTAGGGGCCAGCCCTAGAGCACTACCGGGTCATCGCCAACCTGTCATCCACCCGCACAGCCAGCAATCCGCGGGCCTGGTGGTTTGAGGACCGGCGTTCTGCTCTCGTTACGGGCTATAGGTGGCGTTCGCCGCCAGTTTGACAGCCGGCTAGTAAGGGGGCCTGCGAGGGTGCACGGATCGGAAGCCGGTAGTGAGAACAGACGAGATAACCTTAAGCTGGAGACCGTTATCACCAGTGCCAGGCTGGTGTAACGGCCAGGGAGAGACGTTACTCCAGGGACTGCCGACTCCACGGTGCGGTGTGTGATGATCATATTGGTCTTGGCAACGTCAGCGATCTGGAGACTGTTTGTGGTGATGCATGCGACAGGGCCGTCTCAATGTCATCACCAGTGACTGTGCCCGGCGCACAACGCTCGGCAAAGCCGCTGTCCACTTTTACTGAAAACATCCGAGAAGAAACGCTGCTTCATCCCGTCATGCTGTACAACAGGAAGGCATTCTCTCCTCGCGGCCCACCGGCTTCATGAAGTGCCAGCTCTGGGACTTTTTCGAATAGTCAATCGCACCCGCGACATGGCGTTGAAAGGCTTCCAGCCGGAACACTGACCCCTGTTTCGGAGGCGCCCTCTGAGCGGGGCTGCACACGGCAGGGCAGAAAATGCAAAACAGGCTGAAGGATGCTTGAGTTTCGGGATGTCTGTGACGTCCTGCTGACAAGGATGGACAACTCGGGATGAAGAGACGATCTGGTAATTCTCCCGATCTGTGATGCTTTGGGTCTTGATCATTGTAGTGATTAGGTAGGTACCTAGGCAGGTAAGTGCTTGATGGCACCTTCGGTACGGCACATGTTGACAGGGGTCTGTCCTTACATCAGCATTGGGCAGGATCCCCACACACGCCAGCCCCGCAGACCGAGATGTCAGTCGGGGCAGGCAGGCGTCTCTGGGCCATGGGCCATGAGCACGAACTCTGATTGCAATTCAACCTTCCGACTCGACATCAATGGCAACAGAATTGCAGTGCAGTGTCGAGCACACAGTCCAATGTCGAGAGTAGCCCTATCCCCTCATTGGAGAGTCTGAGGAAAAGAAACGATGGGCTCCCAACGATGTCCGAGGACAGCTCACCACCTCCGAAACACCACGTACCAGACTTTCCAGGGTGTCGTGATCCCCAATGCCGCGACGGGCATCCCGACCAACAACCAACCACACGCGGCAATGGCGTGCCGTAAGAGGCAACGCTACTGTATCTGCCTGTCCCCAGTCCCCGTCGTCTGGTTCAAGTTGGCTCGCACAACAGCGACCCAATGCAGGAACCACGCGGATTGAAAGCGGGTCTTCAGTCGACCAACAGCCTGTCTGTTCCCAACGTTGGTCCTCTTGCATGTGGCTTGCGACTATATCCTGTGCTTGGGATGCCGGCGCGCATCGTGACGTTCTGTATTTGGCAACAACAGAGGCGATGTGATATTGATCCTATTGTTGTCTTCGGCTACCGAATCAGTGTCTTCGGCTACCGAATCAGTGGGCAGGCTAGAGGCACCATGCATGACCCTTTGTGACCGATCCTATCGATAGACCGCCGCCTCGATGCCGGCCAACATCGTGGTCACACAGACGCCTCGGCGCTTACAGCCGTATCGTCATTGACAGACAGCACACCAGACATGCGGCCCGGCCTTTCGGGTCTTGAAGCAGCTGACGGAACCAACGCTTGCATGGATAGACTCAGTCTTCCTTTTCCTTGAGCACAATCGCATGGACACGAGTTGGCCAGTTGAATCTCCTTGGTGTGAAGGCCAATCACTGGGCTGTGAACAAGCAACTCGCACGCTTGGGCCTGTGGTCTCTTGAGGACATAGTGCTTCCTTGGGCTGCCTGCCCTGTCAACGTCCTTTTCCCCCCACCTGGTGGTGGCCCGCGCCGTGACGAACACTTAGCTCCTTTTACGCGCCCTTGGCCCCTGAAGCAATAGGCGTCCGAGGCGCCGGCAGCGCACGGCCAACCGGTGGGGTTCGGCCGGTTGCTGCAACGCGTTCTGCATGGGAACCGACAGGGCCAGGGCTCGCCGCGCCTTCGTCCAGGGGTTGTCCTTGGGCTCTCACGGCTCTTACAGTCACTGATGGTGCAGCACCCCCGGGCGTCCGTGACACCAGCCACGATCTTGCCTGCGTCGCGCAGCCTGGGGCCAGATGGAGCCGATCCGAGCCCGTCGTCTTGACCCCTCGTGCCAGGCTCCTGTCCATCCCGCGATGGTGGAGTGGCGCCCATCTTGCCCAACATTCGATGGTGAGCACATCTTCCATCTGTATCTGGCGATGAGTTGTGCAAAGTGGTTCGATTTCTCCAGGAAACAGTCAACTTGACAGCCATATCGAGAAAAAGCGTGTTTCTTTCCGCCACATGGTTGCCGAAAGGAGACTTGCAAGGGCTCACAAGCTTAGAAGAACTACAGATCTTCAGACGATATCGATCGAAGCGCGCTATCAACTCCTGTCAAGACTCGAATATGGCTCAAGGCCCTCCCCTTTAACGCAAAGGATTGCACAAGTGAATTGTGTTCCCATTGATGGCCCCACTGATCACTCCCGCTGGAGAACGCGACAGCCCCTGGCACAGACGAGCTGCGAGACTTCAACGGGACGGGGACCCCTCTTGGCAGCCCTCTCGCCTCTCCGTCCAGAGTCGAGAAGAAACGAGGACCCCCTGCCCCTGTCACTTCTTTCCGGGCCAAGCACCAAAGCGCAGGGCGTTCGACGTTTCTCTCGTAGAGAAGGCCCGGCAGAACATCAGTCGCCATGGGCTCTCTCAGAGCGACCTTGCATGATATACGCCCAGCACCCAATCCCCTGGCCCGCGAGCCGCCCAACACTTCCGTTGTTCCATTCCTCATTCACTTTCGTACCCTCCTTTCCGTAGGCGCTGGCTTCTCGTCACAACATCCATTCATTCACGCTCATTTTTAGCAAGCTCATCTGCAAGAGCTATCTTCTCGTCACCTTTCTTGGCCACGCCGCACAGTCAACTTCTCTCCATTTCGATTCTTGACATCACGCTCCACCTCGACAGACTATCGAACCACGCACGCTCAGGACCGGCCCCCCCAAGACGCTACTGTCCGTGACAACTGGTCCCAAGCAACTCTGCCCATCTAATTAGACCCGATTTGACAACAGGGCCGCCCCGACAGTATTGTCCTGGTATCTCGCTTCGGACTGCGCCTGATTATCTCGGTCGACCCGGATTCTACTCAACTAATAATTCCTTCATATCACCTTCGAACAATCCGGTGATCTTGCGAGGCACAACCACATACACCCGAGACACTTGTCTGTTCTTGGGACTTCTTCGGATCCACCATTTGCTACTGTCTCAATCGGCTTTCGCCTCTGAGCCCTCGAGCAACCACTTCTTTCGGCGCTCTTGACTCTCGATCAAGCACCGCGGCAATTGCAATTTCCCACCACGGCCTTTACCGCCGCCCGATTCCTTTTGCCAAGACCAGACCACGAGACCCAGCCGATTTCTACCCAGTTGTCAGCCCAAGCGAGGGGCGGGGAAATTTCCTACATCGACCATACCGATCGGGTCCTTCACTTAGTGCACGGCCAGCGAAACGGCACGAGGCTTAGACCAGTGGCCACCTAATAAGCCCTGAAAGCCCCTCTATAACCTAACCGCCCCAACCTTACGGCAGCCCGTCGTCCACCTGCCCGTTTCCTCCCGCCTCTCTCACGACCACCAGCATCTCGACCTCACGACCACGGTCGGTTTGTCGCAGAAGCGACCGTATGCCTGCACAGCTGCTTCCATCAAAGACTTCCCGCGGATTATTATCCACGGTCCAGTAACACAATGTCGTTGAAACAGGTACGTAACTCCGGATTCGATGGTCATCAAGGCTTGCTTGTGTTGTTGGTGGGGGGGGGGACATCAGGGAAGCAAGCACTGGACGAGCAGGATATGCCCCTCAATCCAAGACCAGTTCGCTGACATGCCGTCCTACAGGAAATCGAAACCTGGGTGACAGCCTTGGCCCGTTATGACAACAATGAATTCGACGACTCATTGGGCGAGTTCGACAAGATTGCCGACACATCCAAGATCCTTTTCAATATGGGCGTGATCCATGCGACTTTAGGAGAGCACGAGAAAGCTGTCCGTGCCGTCCCACCACAGCACCCCTTTTGGCCGTGCTTGCTAATACGTTGGTCCTAGGTTGAGTGCTACCAGCGCGCCATTCGACTCGATCAATACCTCGCCGTTGCCTACTTCCAACAAGGCGTCTCCAACTTTCTCCTCGGTGACTTCGAGGAGGCCTTGGCGAACTTCAACGACACCCTGCTTTATCTTCGAGGCAACACAATGATCGATTATGCGCAACTCGGTCTTCTTTTCAAGCTTTACTCTTGCGAAGTTCTCTTCAACCGGGGTCTCTGCTACATCTATCTCCAACAAAAGGATGCCGGCATGCAGGACCTGTCATATGCAGTAAAGGAGAAGGTCGTTGAGGATCATAATGTCATCGACGAGGCTATCAAGGAGGAGGCAGAGGTACGCAATCAGCAGGACTGGGTGGGAGGTCGTGAACTAACCTATGACAGGGCTATACAGTTTTCTCCATTCCTGTCGGCGTCGTCTACAGGCCGAATGAAGCCAAGGTCCGCAACCTGAAGAGAAAAGACTACCTTGGCAAGGCTCGCCTCGTGGCCGCCTCTGACCGTGCCAATGCCTTCACTGGCTTTGCTGGTTCAGAGATGAAGACGGTAAGCTATGTCCCACAGTTCATTCTGTCCTTGATCGTACTGACTTTGCGCCTGCAGCAACAAAGACAAGCCGTCAAGGACGATCGCCCAGCCGACAACATTTCCTATGCCGCTACGAACCTCATCAAGCCCGGCATCCAGTCTCGATCAACCGACAACAGTCGCAATGTCTTTCCACCCACGCCGCCACCGGACAATGACAGGGCCAGCGGTGGCAGTGGAAACGGCAACGCGAGCGGCCAGATGACTCGAGGCCAGTCTGTTCGTAACGGGCCGAAGCCTCAACTCGCAAAGCTCAACATCGACACCTCAGGTGGTAACAACAGATACGAGAAGACATCAAGCCCACCAAAACGCCGACCCATCAACGCCACACGCTCCGCCAGCTCCACACCCGCTCGAGGCTACTCCCGGCGTGACCAGCAGCGCCGCTACCATACGGGACGACGAAGAAGGATGGTGATGCCTATCCCGACGAGTTGTACGATATGTACCAGGGAGGGTCGCAGCAGCCGGGGCCCTTCTCGTCGCCCGCAACAACAGCAGCGGTATATCGAGGAAGAGGACGAGGGGTCTGAGTACGATGACGGGTCCTTCGACGAGGGTGACTTTGAAATGGTCTCCAACACCCACCTCGGCGCATGGGCACCAACTCAACATCGTCAGGCGGCCGTGGGGCGTCACGGAGGCCCGATGTCCGAAAGGTCCGCGTTAAGGTTCACGCTGAGGATGTGCGATACATCATGATCGGCACGGCGATAGAGTTCACCGATCTGGTTGACAGGATTCGTGATAAGTTTGGACTGCGCCGGCGATTCAAGATTACAGTCCGCGACGACGACGGTGGCCCGAACGGCGACATGATCACTATGGGCGATCAAGATGATCTTGAGATGGTCATCATGAGCTCCAAGGCTATTGCCAGGAGGACAGGGCAAGAGATTGGCAAGATGGAGGTATGTGTAAATCTCCATGAAGCAATGATGAGTACGACACTAACTCGACATGACAGATTTGGATCCAGGAGCTGTAGACGGACGATACCCAGCGCCGCCACGAGGCTGGCTGGTCGCACCACCATTATCTTTTACGACGTAATGAAACATTTAAGCCCCACAGGGCATGCGAGCGAGAGAGAAAGAGCCACCTTAGAGCTGGCTCGATGGCATACGCAAGAAAACTGCAATGAACTGTTCTTGACTTTTTCTTTGGATTGCATCCAACTGCATAGAATTGGGAAAAGAGGGGGGCGGGGAGGTGGGCGGAGCGGTGTTTTCCTGGACTGGACCAAGTGTCATGTGTTTCGGATGCAGGTGTGGTACTGTGAACGGATTTCGCCCCGATCATCGAGTGCGTGCGCGCGTGTGTGGTGCGAGGGAGGTAGCTACCCGTAATAACTCGTACGTGTTGTTGTCGTGAAAGTCGATTCTGTCCATTGTGCGGTTTTGAGGTGCGTGCTCCATGACGTGTTCCCCCGTGATGTGAAACGCACGGTGTTTTGTGATGGATGAGCGAGGCATCATGACCTCGTTGATCAATTGTGACGAAATGACGTTCAACCGTGAGATTGCGGCAGTGCTCCCGTCATGACACCTTATACTCTACAACAATGAACAGGCTATAATACAAGGTACAGGCCCACAGACACGCGACGAACCGCCCCCCCCCCCCCTTTTCATGCCCACCGACCCAGCCGCCAGCCTGCTCCATCTAATGAGGACGCTGGTCCATCTAAGCAGCGCCGGCCCCTTGAAGCCTCAGCATGGCCTCTTCGGGCCCCAACACCGCAAGCTGCAGCTTGGCCGGCTTAGCCGGCCTCGTCCTGTCGCCCGTGAGAAGCAGGCGCAGACACTCGTAGACCCTCGTCCGCTCCTCAACCGGCTTGTTGGCGAGCAGTGCAGCGATGGCCTGTTGGATCGCATCCGGGGTCCAGCCGTCGCGGCCCTCTCCGTCTCGGGTCGCCAGGGGCGCCAGGGCCGTGGTCAGGGAGGCTGCTGCTTCGCGGAGCGTACCATCCACTGCTTCCGCGCCGGCCGGGCGGAAGAAGAGGGAAGGGTGGTTTGCGAGGAGCGACTGCGGGTCGATGGCCGTCTCTTTGGGGTCTGAGGCCAGGGTCTTGAGCAGGGAGAGGAGATAGGCCTGTTTCGACGCGAGGGGGGCGGAGGGGGCGAGGGCCGGGACGGGGCTCTCGAGGGTGGTGGAGGGGGTTTCGATTGCCTGGATGCTCTTCAGGAGAGGGTCGATGAGTGTTGTCGTGAGGCGAGCGTCGCAGGCCGGGGCGGTGCGCAGGAGTTGAGTAAGGTGGGCGCGCTGCAGGATGGGGAGCTTCTCGGGGTTGGTTTGCGTGTTGCCCTTTGTGAACTTGAGGGAGAACTGACAAGGGGTCAGAGTAAGGTTCCGGTGATGGGATATGAAAGGGGGGGGAGGGTCGCGAGTAGGCGAAACTTTACCTTCTTCGCGAGATCGTCCATGGACGGGAAGACGTCGCCCTTGGCGCTGGCATTCTTACTGGGACTCCATCCGAGGAGAGCAAGCCAGTTGTTCAGGGCTGAGGGGAGGATGCCCTGGTCGCGATACGCGCCAATGTCGATGTCGATGGTACGGTTGCGCTTGCTGAGCTTCTCGCCGTTGGGCCCGCACAGGAGGCCGGCGTGAGCGAAGGTTGGGGGGGTCCATTTGAATGCGTCGTAGAGGGCGATGTGCTTGGGCGTCGAAATGAGCCATTCCTGGACGTTTGTCAACTATGCTCTTGATAACAAGTGCTGGCGAGACTAACAACACCACGGATGACGTGAGTGATCTCCATAAGATGGTCGTCCACGACGTTGGCGAAGTGGTACGTCGGGTAGCCGTCAGTCTTCATCAGTATGAAGTCGCTCTCGTCTTCATTCTTCTGGTATCGTCCGTACACGACATCCGTGAACGATGGGCGCCCTTCGCTCCTGAAGCGAATGACATGAGACTCTCCGTTGGCAGCACGCCGAGCTGCTTGGTCTGGTGGGACACTTCGACACGTGCCGGGATAGTTGACGAGGCTGCCGCCGTCAAGGGTCTGCTGTTTGTGCCTCTCCAGTTCTTCGGCCGTGCAGAAGCACCGATATGCGTGTCCGGTTTCGATCAGACGTTCCGCGTGCTTGGTGTAGTGATGCAGGCGTTCAGACTGCCACGCGTTAGGGTGCAATCATACGCCCCGGCCATCATCGAGCGTACCTGTACGTATGGGCCAAACGGTCCACCAATGTCAGGCCCTTCATCCCAGTCAAGCTCGGCCCATTTCAGATCTTTTAACAGACGGGGGAGAGCGTCTTCGACAAGCCTTGTCTAGTCATGATTAGCATGACGACTGGTCATACCGGAACATGCCCAGAACCAACCTGATCTGTGTCTTCAACTCGAATGAGAAATTGCCCTCCCGTTGCTCGAGCCAACAGCCAGTTGTATAGAGCTGTCCTCAACGATCCGAGATGCAGATAGCCCGTTGGCGAAGGGGCGAATCGTGTCCTTGCAGGTGTCTTTGGCAGTTCATGCAGTATGTTGCTGCCTTTGGGTTGAAGCTTGCTCCTGAGAGTCTTCAGTCCTCCTCCCTTGGGAACTGTTGAGTGTTGTCGGACCCATTGTGTCTTGCAACTCCTGCAAACGTACATCGATGAGCGGTAGCTCATCCTCCCAAAAGGACCCACTGCTGCAGACGACATTGCAGATGGTCATGATGCGAAGAAATGGTCCTCATGCACAAGTCATATTGCATCGCGTCAGGGTGAACATGGGGAATTTTAGCATCTCCAGCCACACGTGGCTGCTCTTATCGGAAGTAGCCTTGTCCCGATAAGGCGAGGCAGCAGAACGGTGTCGCAAACTGCTGCCGCCCTCAGCCCGAATCCACCACTGTGACTGAGGTGAGGTGCTAGGTGCCTAGGTGGGGTTTGCGTACAGGTCCTGGATCGACCTACTGTAGACCGTAGCCGGGAGGCACCCCGCCGCCAGTCCCGCCAACCGTCAACTCCAAAAGTTTTCCTAGCGACTCCACCATCGAACTTGCAACGCCTGGCTAGATCTGCAATTTTGGGAGTGTATTTTCGTCCCAAAAATAACAGGTGGCACGGGTCTTTTCTAGTTCTTTGACAAGCCAGATCATTCACCATGGACTTTGGAGAAGAAGATCTCGACCTCTACGGTACGTTTCACAATGGCAGGAAATGGAGGTGGATCTTCTCTGACGCTTATCCAGGTCTCCTCGGCGTCGATAAGACTGCGACACCCGACCAGATCAAGAAGGCGTACCGCAAGGTCAGCAACAAAAAAACATCACATGGAAGGAGAAGACAATTTAACAAACATGCAAACAGGCCGCTCTGCAACACCACCCTGACAAGGTCTCCGAAGACATCCGCGAAGAGTCCGAAGCAAAGTTCAAGTCCGTCACGCAAGCCTACGAGATCCTCCGCGATGAGGAGAAACGCCACATGTATGACACCCACGGCATGGCCGCCTTCGACGGACGAGGTGGTCCCGGCGGCCCGGAGGTCGACCTCAACGACATCCTGTCCCAGATGTTCGGCTTCGGCATGGGCGGTCCTGGCGGTCCTGGAGGTCCTGGCGGCGGTCCCCAGAGACCGCGCCGCGGTCCCGATGAAGAGCAGGAATACAGGGTGTCCCTGGAGGAGCTGTACAAGGGCAAGACTGTCAAGTTCTCCGCCGACAAGCAGATCGTCTGCGGCACCTGCAAGGGCTCTGGCGCCAAGCCGAGCGTCAAGCCCACAAAGTGCGAAAAGTGCCAGGGCGCCGGCATGTCCGAGGCGTTCCAGCAGATTGGTCCCGGCATGGTGCGCCGCGCCACCGTCGTCTGCGACCGCTGCGAGGGCTCCGGCAACCAGATCAAGGAGAAGGACCGCTGCAAGAAGTGCAAGGGCAAGCGCACGACATCCGAGAAGAAGGTGCTTGAGATTTACATCCCGCGCGGCTCCATGAACGGCGAAAGGATCGTCATCGAGGGCGAGGCCGACCAGTTGCCGGACCAGACGCCTGGCGATATTGTTTTTGAGCTGGCCGAGGAGCCCCACGACGTCTTCACGCGCGAGGGTCACGATTTGTCTGCGGAGCTCAACATTACGCTGGGCGAGGCTCTGGGCGGGTTCTCCCGTGTTGTGCTGACGCACCTCGACGGCCGTGGCATCCACATTGACAGGCCTCGCGGCAAAATCATCCGCCCTGGCGACGTGCTGAAGGTGCCCGGCGAGGGCATGCCGATGAAGAAGGGCGAGCTGAAGGGCGATCTCTACCTGATTGCTAACGTTGAGTTCCCTGAGAACGACTGGCTGAAGGACGACAAGGAGCACGAGGCTCTGGCAAAACTGTTGCCTCCTGCTCCCGAGCCCATCAAGGCCGAGGAGGTTGACGATGTTGACTATGAGTCTGACGCGGACTTGGCAGAGGTAAGCTGAACCCTTTTGTGACGTTGGAACACTACTGATCAAGATCAACTAGATGGGCGCTCGTCACGGTGGCGGCGGCGGCGGACAGTGGGAGGATGTTGACGAAGACGAAGGCCAACCGCAGTGCCAGCAGCAGTAAATGATGGAGGAAGCTGGGAATTCATGGGGGATAGAAGTATGGCCATAGAAAAGGGGAGAGCTAGAAGGTAGGGCCTTCGGAGCTTGATGATGATTACGAAGGGATATTTGGCGTGGATAGATACATCATGAGATATGGATGGCAAGCAAGCCTTGTTGATATTGAGCGTGCTTTGTGTCATTGTCGTCTTTGTGTTGACTGTCGGAAGCCTCCGAAGTAGATGGCATGCGTTGCCAATCGACATAATAGCTTCATCGCAAATATCACCAGTTGACAGGGAGCGTGGTTGTCTTGTATCCGGGACTTATTCGATCAATCCGCACGACTAACACCCATCAAGGTCCAAGGACCCGCTATAGGAATGTGGATCTCGGAAATCGATGCCCACATCACAGAGCACACAATTCTGCTTCTGCTGCTGACTCATTGTTATGGGTCAAGATCGGGTCTCCAGCTCATCACGTGCACCATCTCTAGGGCAGGCTCAAACCATTGGACCCCGGCCCACACACATTACCCAGGCGAACGAGGAAAACTTTTTGACATTGAATCCCACTTGCAGCCTCCACGAACTCCGACGTCAACTAACTCCCAGGGAAAACTGCCGTCAAGGTACGATACGACACCCACGACAACAACAATCACACACTCGACGATCGTACTGACATTCTCAACAAGATGGTCGCCGCTAAGAAGCATGTTCCCATCGTGAAGAAGCGTAGGTTCCTCCTTGCCGACCGGCCTTGAACCCCCACCCCGACCGAGACGAAACGACCGCCACAAACGGATATTGTCGACGATGGAGGACGACTCTGTTGAAGGACTCTTGTTGACGGATTGTTGGAACAGGCACCAAGCGCTTCGAGCGCCACCAGAGCGACCGCTTCATGCGTGTCGACCCCTCTTGGCGCAAGCCCAAGGGTATCGACAACCGCGTTCGCCGTCGGTTCCGTGGTACCGCGCCCATGCCCTCGGTACGTTTCCATCACGACGACGGCCCGGAAAGAGACGAGAAAGGCTCTGTCTGGGAGGTCTTGCGAGAGGAAAGCCCACTAACGCAGAGTTCGAACGACAGATCGGCTATGGCTCCAACAAGAAGACCAAGTACATGATGCCCTCCGGCCACAAGGCATTCCTCGTCAACAACGTTTCCGACGTTGAGCTCCTCCTCATGCACAACCGCACCTTCGCCGCTGAGTACGTCCACACCGGACTCCAATTTCCGACGACGAAAATTCGGATTCTTCCCCACCTCCCAAGGTCGACCCAGACGTACTAACAAAAACCCCGCAGGATCGCGCACGGCGTCTCCTCCAGGAAGCGCATCGACATCATCTCCCGCGCCAAGCAACTCGGCGTCAAGGTCACCAACCCCAAGGCCAAGGTCACGACCGAGGTGTAAATGCAGCGACAAAAGGACGACGAATGATGGAAGGGGCTGGCATGATGACACTTGGGACAGGAGTGATTTTGGTCGATTGCGGATGGCTCTGTTCTCTCTCATATCCTGGAACTGGGCATGCATCGGAACAAACGGAATTCCCTTTTTCGCGAGTCTTCGGCTCTCTCTGTCCCTCCACCGCGACTGGCATGACGGATGTGTATCTGTGCACTTTTAGAGGGATCTCCAGACTTGGTGTTTTCCATGAGTCGGCCAGCAGTGGGAAGCTCTCCCTTTCGCCGACAATGGCGGCTACTCGCTGCTGCGCTCCCCACTGCCACGGTCAACTCTTCCACCATCGCACCGCTTTCTGCGTTGGCTAACAAATTCAGTCAAATCCATGTGCCGTCCCCTACTGACGACGTGTCCCAGCTCTGTTGATCGCAAGCCATGGCCTTCTTTCCCACATTCCCCCTTCCCACCCTTGACTACACTCTGAGATGTACCTGCTCTCCCGTGGTACAACCCAATTTTTGTCTCAAGGAAGATAGATGCTTCGGCAAGGCGCATCACTCACCGCGACTCCTTTTACCCTGTGGAGATCGAGGTCCGTATATCGTTGTCTACAACTCTGAATCGTATTGCTATAGCTGTAATCGCTAGTTTTCTCTTCACCGAAATGGACTTCATTCCTTCTAACGTTTACCTCCTCGCTCAGCTTGACTGTGTTTTGACACGACCTGGCTATGTCTTGCCTCTTTCCAGTTCATGTTGTGTCACCAAGAAACGAGTCGTGCATTGTTAAGAATTGTATTAAGCTATTTGTGACGAGTCGGCATCTTTCCGAGTCGCCAGTGATAACCATAACAGAGGCCAGGAACACAGACTGCCTCCGCAATGCCAAACTCCGTGCTCAGACCATAGTATCGTGGGTATCATTTCCCCACTGCCAATATCATAATCCTTGGATGTGAGGATTTTCGTGTCGTAAAAGTAGTTAGGTTGCTTGGTGCTTCGAAGGGTGCGAGGGACCTGGCGATAGGTCTACCTCAAGGAGACGCTGACGCCGTGACTTCTGCGCAACGGTCTCTATTTGAAGCAGTTGAAACGACCGATGCGGAAGCGCCAGGGGCCGCGACGCACACCGTGACGGTCGGCCTGGATGCTGGTACCAAAGCGGCGGCCGCCGACGGACTTGTTGTAGAAGAAGGGCATGCTGAGGAGGGGTAGGTGGGTTTCTGTAGCAAGGTTAGTGTGCTAGTTGGGGCAAGTAGGTTTCGCGACGGTTGCGTACCTGATGTGTTCAGATCAAAGGTACAGCTAAGCTTTGTAAAGGACTTGACTTGAATGGGGGCATTAATAAACGTGGTCGTAGGTTCGTTGCCTTTTTAAAGAAATCTCCCACCCCCCCCCCCGAAAGCAGTCGCGTCACACCATGTCAATCATGCTTAACGTTCTGACGTCCATCCTTCCCTCCACTCTGTAACCGCTGCCAAGGATCGTGCACAGCAGGTTGGGAAGGTGCGCGATGACGTAGATCTACTGTGGCGTGGTCGGGGCTGTGCGGCTGTGTAAATTGGCTCTTGGTCAATGGGAGCATCTCAACCACGTTGTGGCCCGACGGTGACGAAGACGCCAGCCACTCGACACCACCAGCTCTACCATTTCGTTCGGGTTATTCTTGAGCTAATGTTTATGCTTGTTGTGCAAGCGATCTTAGCGGGAGGCCTTTGTGGCGATGGCTACCACGATCACCAATTTGATCTGGTCTCGATCGCCCGATCAGGAACCCCTCCCTCTCTCCAGCTGGACGCCAACAAGCAGGCTCGCCGAATCATCGACAAAGACCGCCCTACCCAGAGAGTATCGCTATTTGATCGTTCACCGCCGACAGCGAGAACAAGTGACCTTGCTGGTAGAGCAAGTCGGGTGGGGGGTCACCCAATCGCCTGCACTTGGGGTCAGATAGGCAGGACATGAAGCTTCAAACCAATCCAGAACGCCCCCAACCCGAATCCTGCTTTTTTCTTGGCCCTTCGAGCCGACAAGGGTTCCTCTTTGGTGACGGCCCAGTACATTAGCCCCAGGAGCTTTTCTGCGGAGATCGACAACAGACCGTCGATCAATGCGTGTTCGTGCCAGCAGCGAGAAAGCACCGAAAATGTGCTGCATCACTGTCTTGCAATGCTGCGGGCGGATTCGGGTATCTGCCTGGTCGCTGCTCATCTCCAGTGAGGCAGACGGTTCGAAGGGACGGTCGTTGGAACGGTGACCTATCCGCGAGCCGAAATTCGGCGATCTTGGTCCATTGTCTCATAGTTTTGGTTTAGCCTGTTCAGCAACCCTCGTGAGCATCTGCATCTTCAGACGACACCGCCATCTGTCGTGCAGAATGACTCTTGCGATGTGACCTGGTGTGCCAGCCCATGCATGAATCTTGGTAGGGTTTATTTTGCTTTTCGCAGTATGCAACCAGGCCAGCGCCGTGAGCCTCGAGGTGCCATCCCGAGCAAACTGGCGATATCGTTTTCATGATCCACCACGGCTGTCTTGCCGCATTCCATATCGGACGTCTGGGAGGTTACCCCGCCAAACCCTCCACCCAAGGGAGTGATGGAATGCGAATGCCGTCTCCCCGGTTGCCAGATGACCTGATTGATGCCTCACCTTATGCTGTCGCACTTTTCTTTTCGACTTATAAGTCAAGTCTGGATCTCTTGCTGGGATGGACCAAGCCTTCATCTACACCTACAAGTAGCAGTGTCGCGCCGTTCCTTGTCCGGAGTCATCAGAACAAAAGACAACGCAGGCATATCTATTGTTTCTTGTTTTTCGATACTATTATAAGACGGCAGCATCCTTCAACAAGGCAAATCACCAGATCTCACAATGAATCCTACTCAGCAGAAACCCCGCGTTGCCAAGCGAGCCATCCCCTGCATCGGCCTCTTCATGACCCGCCGCTCAAAACCAACCACCCCGACAATCACAGTCACCAACGACCAGGAAGAGCTTGTCCTCTCCAAAACGGCAACCCGCAAACCAACCTCCCCCCTCCGCTGCGCCCTTGCCCGTCCCTTTGTCTCGCTGCGCCGCAGATGGGGCACCTTCCGAGACCGCCGCGCCGACCGCCGCGAGCAACGTCTCCTGCAGGACCACGGCGGCGTCGAGGAGGAGATTGACGAAGAGTTCAAGGACGCCGCGTCCGTCGAAGCGCCCGACGTCCCGCAGCAGCGCGAGGCCCAGGGTAGCGTCCGGGCTCCGCAGGGCAAGTACGTCCTCGAGCTCGATTTTAGCCACATCAAGGAGATGGAGACCGCGAGCTGGCTGCGTGAAAGGAGGCCGGAGACGCCCGCCGCCAGGAAGCTGGGGCCCGCCTTCAGCTTCAGGAGGCCGATGACTTCGAGGGGGGCGAGGCCGATGTACTGAGGGAGAGAGGGCAGAGAGATACATGTTTACAAGGCGTTTTGGGGGGCGGACTGCGGATCATTGCAACGTGTGCGGTTTATGGTATTTTTAATTGACATTTTTGCTTTGGCGTCATGTTTGATGGCCGTCATGAGCGGTTTGTCCACTGATGCATGAGAGCCGTGATGCCCTTCCGGCGTTTTGCCATGTTTGTTCCTCGCCAGTTGAATTGTGCTAGATATGTGGCCGACTATCTTGGCCTGCGTGCATGTCTCGAAGAAGTGCCTCACTTTAAGACGTGTTACTCCATTGCATTCGATAATGAGATTCGACTAACACCAGTACCATCTTTTGACCATTGATTCGTACATAACCGAAATACCGTACTCCCTAGACCTGCCCGTTGTCATATAGGTGAAAGTAATTCCACAATGGCATATGCATCACCAGCCTCATACAAGGTTTCGCCAAACCCAGAAAATTGTCTCACACGCATTGTGAATCAGTATTCACAAAAGCTGCAACGGCCACTTCTTATTAAATAAAAAAAGTAATAAAAACCTTGAAAAGTCACTGATTCAGTCATGCAAGGCAATACTTACTGCGTGGGAGTCTGCCCACGTTTGAACGAACTGCCATGCCTCGACATCATGCCTCAAATTCGGTAAACCTCTCAGCCCACTGATATGCACAACACATATCAAGTACGCAAATTAGCAATTAATCGGCTTCATGTCGAAGATGAACCTATTGGCCGCAGATATCCAGCAGCAAGCTGTCGTCCGTTGACGTCCTCCTCTCGGGCTCGCCGTACCCTGTGTCCGAGCTCACCGCAGTGGGCGTGCCAACTTTGAACCGCGGCCGCCAATGAATCTGATAATGAGCATCCAGATATGAGAGAGCCTGCTCCGCGAGCACGCGGAAAGTTCCATTGTCTGCTTCCTCATGCTCACCAGCTCCGGGGGTGGAACATCAAGGCATAATCGGGGCATTTCGTTGCCATCGAGGCAGCCGGACGTGAGACGGACCCTGAAGATGCCGCCTAGCCGTTTGCTGCGTCAAAGTCTGACACTGTAGACATGTAGCCGTGAAGCGACTTTACACGATGCCGGGATTGATCCTCCAGATCTCAGCACCCCCCCCTTCTCGTCATCATGTTTCTTAGCGGAGAGAAACATACACTCGATGCCCCACAACACGCTGGCTGCGTAGTTCCTGACTGAGAGAGGATAACCACAGCATAGCTCTGTTCAGGCGAGAAGATGCGATCAAGAGTTACACCCGACGTCCGTTATATTTGTCCGTGACAGTGATTGCCGAAGTGCCCGGCTCAAAAAGGTGCATCCGAAGACGCGAGCAGATGAAGTCGACCGTTCGCCTGGAGGCGTAACAGCCGCCTGGTCTGGTCTACATGAAATGTAACGGATGGCTACTTGTGTTTGTGAACACTTCCATAAGGTCTGCCAACTCCTGGCTGGAGGTTTGCGCACCGCTGCGCCTGATGATATTTGACCATCACCTGATGGCTGACTTGCTGGCAAAAACTTATCTTTCAGCAGCCAGCCAATCTAGTGGGGTGGAGGACCTGAACGATGACCAGGACCGCGGCCTGCCAGCACGAAGAGAGTTCCATGCTGTACAAGAGTACAAGTAGAACAAAGTGCATTCTACATTGGTATCTATGCTTTCAAACAATCTAACATGCAATATTTTATGCCGCACACACATGCAGTACCTCCACTATGCAAACCAGCCGTCACGTCGAACATTGGTTCAAATGCTCAAAAATCAAGCAAACGCAATCACAGCCGCCGCCAGGGCGACTAGAACGGTGAAGCTCGCGCCGGCGACCCGGCCGGCGGCATTGTCTGAATCATCACCGTTTGAGGAGCCGCCGTTGCTGTTGCCGTTGCCGTTGCCGTTGCCGCCGCCACCATTGCTCCTTCCATTACCAAAGCCGCCGGAACCCGTACGAGGACTGTCCGATATTTCACCGGAACCGGGTTCCATGTTACTTAGAGACATAGTCTGCGAGACGCCGGGCCGAGTCACCGATTGTGTGTCGCTGTAGTCGTCGACCCCGACACGCAGGAGGCGCGTCCCACTTGACATCCGAAACGGCCTCCCAGAGGTTGGTAAGATTGGTCAGGGTCTCCCACGTGTAGAAGAGACGACAGTTGGCGGCCTCGTAGACGAACTGCAGCGGCGCCGCATCGTCGTCGTCGTGGAGGTGAACGTTGGCGGAGTTGACGACGATCATCTCAGGCGGAGGACCTGCCAGCGGCGGACCAACCTCCGAGAAGGGCGCTGTCCTCAGGTCTGATGGGGGTCGCTCTTCGGAAGCGATATCCGGGAAGATGGCCTTGCCCCAGTCGAGAGTCAGGATGGGCCCACCTTTGGTGCCGCCGACCGCCTGCATAGGACGCTCGTTGGGGCGGCCACCGAGGGTGACGACGTGGATGCCGAGGAGGCGCGACATGAGACCTACAGCGAGCGCGCACGCTGAAGCACAGAAACCGTCTGTCAAAATTACAGTGTTGTTGGCAGTGAAGTGCTCGGGGAGGCTACTGAACTGGCAGAAGAGACTCATATCAAGGGGTGATATATCTGGGTAAAGTCGTCGCCGAGGATTGTTTCGAGATCGTAAAAGTCGGACCAGCTGCTGAAGGTGTTCATGTCCTCGTCGACGGCGGTCCGGAGGTCGTACACAGGCAGCATAGGCGCTCGGAACTCGACGGCAGTCTCGCCCATCCAGTTGAGGAGCGGGTTGGCGCGGGCTCGCAGCGGGAGGAAGGTCTCGGCCTGGGGGAACAGGAACAGGTACAGCGCGATGAGATTGGCTAGAGAACCACCGCCGTTTCCTTGGAAATCGATGATGAGGCGGTCCTTCCCATCATCGGCCGAGTCCGTGACAAAGGTCGATACGACTCGCACGAACTCCTCCAAGTCAGCCTCGGGTTGCGACTCCAGGTCGGAGGTCAAGAAACTCTTGACGGCGAGTACAGCCGTATCGTCCAGCTTGCCACGACGGAAGTGGTATCCGCTGATGTAGCCGTCCTCGTGAATGACGAAAGGGTCCGGATAACCCACATTGTCGAAGCCGTCGGACTGGCGCTTCGCCAACTTTGTAAAGGGGCTCGACTCTGCGTTTCCAAACCTGTCGGGGACTTCAAATCTGTTGTGAACATCTTCGCCGGACGAAATGTTGGAGAAGTCGCCGACAAGCACAGCGACGTTGTTGAAGGAGACCTCGGTATTGTTGCCGAATACGATGGTGCTCTGATCAGTCAGATTGCCGTGAGCGAAGATTGTGGAAGCAGCAGAAACGCCAATGTTGTCGAGAGCCGCGCTGTACAGCTGGGAGTTCCATGAAGCATCAGGATCCTGGTTTCGGTCGTTGTCGACACCTCGCTGCTGAAGCCAATCGAAGATGGGGGTGCCGTCGAAGGATACTACTTTGGCGGCGTCGTAGCCCTGGCTTTGGCTCTGGAGGTAGTCATCTGGTCCAGCATGTCAGTCATGGACAGGCGGTCATGGAATTGTCAAATCGGCGTACCGTATAGGTAAATGCTTGGTAGGCTGGTGCCGTCTTCCGAAATGGAAATAAAGACGGCCGGCGTGGCGAATTGAACAGCGCTAATCAGAGCTGGGGTATAAGACAAATGGCCCTCACGCGGCTTGACGTTAATGAGGCGGAACAGGTCAACGATAAAGTCGTATTGGTTGTCGTAGTCGCCGTTCCGCAGCATGCTTGTCATGTTCGAGAAACCACCCAAAATGTCGACACCAGGGTACATGTAGCCCTCGGGAGGATCGGCAAGGATGCCGACAGTGCTCTGAAACTCAAGCCATGGCTCAAGGTACTCGAGGAGCGCGATGTCGCGCTCGGTGTCGACAGCAATCGAGCGCAAACACTCGTAGGCGATGGAGGGCCTCACGAGGGCGGGGCTACCTGGAGAGAGGGGTTAACAGGAGACGCGAGACAGAGTGGTCGGTGACAGAAGGTGCGTACTGCTACCGA